AACCACCGAGACACCATGCAGCCCCCCCGAAACACTTCATGCATATTCAAGCTCAGAATTAATTCAAGCTGCTGCTACATAAGACACCAAAACATGTGTATATTCCTGTAGATGTAGTTTTATCCTTAGTTGTGCAGCATTCTGTGGCATAAAACGGTTTTTGACATTTGGAAAGGAAAGATCCTGGGTGTCCTCACCGGGACGTGAACCAGCAACCTTCTAGCTGCGAGGAGGCGGTGCTAACCACTGATCCACCATGCAGCCCAGATTTTTGTGTTTATTATTATGTTGGAAGAGAAACCGTGCAGGATTTATGTTTTCATCTCAAACCAAAAAGGTCAGCCTGTTCTATTAAACCCAGTAAAGGGATGTTTTTGTGTCACTTTGACCCACTTTTGCTCAATATTCTGTCCTGAATCGAACCACAGCGAATGTGTTTCTGCCCACAGACAGATCAGTCAATAAACCACCGGTCAGCATACTCCCAACAATCACAGCAGCAAAAAAACAGTTCTCACAGCTGCAGGAAGCCGTACGAATGGTGGACAGAACATCGGTCCTGGTGACACGTTTAAAACATCTAGTCATGATTATTCGGATGCACATGTGAGGCAGCATCGGGAATCCCAATGAGCTGGTCTGAAAGCTGCTTCACCTTTTCACTGGGTCGCCGTCTCTCAGAGGCTTCAGATGATAAACAGCTTCATTCTCCATCCGAGCGTTCAGACGTGATTAAATTCAAGCTGCTCTTCACCTTTTGCTCGGCAACCCAATGCGAGGCCCTGCGGTCTCCCTGAACCTGATGGCTAGAGCGCTGGTGCTGCTTCGGATCAGAGCCAGAAGCCTCATCAGGCCGCTTCACATCCTGCATCACGTCCTGTGAAGCTCCAGATTCTGGGTCCAGCGTCGCCGGCAGTCACAGAAACTTGTTCAAAGACATCAGTCTGAGAACAAAGGTGGCATTTAGAGGTTCGGACCGGCGGCGAGATTACACGCAGCTTACCAGCTAAACCGGAAAAACCGAAAAGTGACTCCCGACCGAACCTCCGAGTCACTCTTTCGGGGGTTCCCATGGCAACCGACTCCAGATCTGAGCGTAGCGGCCAATCTTAATCTCAGACCATTGAGGAGGCACATGCGAGCCACTTGGTCGCCCGCTGGTTGAGCAAATTGAGGTTTTTCAGCATAAATGTCGCCTTTTTTCAGGGTAGAAATATTTTAGAGGCTTTTTTTTTTTTGGATCAGTCCAGACCAGACCCGGGGTTTGTCGTTCGCCTGACAAGATAGATTTTTCTCTGCCAGTGACTTTTCCTGACGATTCTCACATTTCACCGAGCCACTAAAAATGGAAATAAGTCTTCCTGTGAGCGGCTCAGCCTGGCCTTTCCTTCTCCTTCTCCTTCTCCTTCTCCTTCTCCTCTGTGGGCTCATTGTTTCCTCTTTGCTCGATTCACCGGATCGCTGAGTTATTTGGGGAATATAGGCCAACTTATTCTGATATCCTCCCCCTCCAGAGGGTGAGGGGACATTCCAGCGGCTCAAGTGGAGCAACGGCGAGAAGGAGTCTCTCTCGCTTGGGTGGATACAGGTCAGTGAAGCCAGAGGCCTGCAGCACAGCGACCAGCTCAGTGCAGCACCACAGACACCACACAGGGTCTCAGCTGGATGTGCAACTCTGTGTTTTGGTTTTTCAGATTCCTTGGATGACAAATATTTAAAAAAAAAAAAAAAAAACATCTATAATGTGTTCACAAGTCAAAGTGAAAGTCAGCACTTCGTTAAAAGGCCTAAATTTGAATTAAAGTTGATTATTATATACATGACTGCACATTATAAAAAAAACACAGAGCCATGATGCCAGAATAGTTTATATAAAAAACTGTGAGCCAAAAAAAAGAAAAAGCAAATATCGGTAGAGTAAATGAATTTTTAGATGACAAAATGAATGATGCAGCTTCAGTTTGGAGACATCTAGTTACGTCCCTATGCTGTAAAGAGTAAATTGTCTGTAAAAATAAAAAACAAAAACACAAAACTGTGAAAATCTGGCAGCAAGGAAGCCAGAATATGTCAAAAACTGTGTGAATAAAATGCAAATATCTGTAAAATAATGGTATTTTGTAGCTGGCAAATTAAATAAAGCAGCTTAAATATAATAAAACTGTTTAATTTTGTGATCACACTATTTGTAAAAATACAGATTTTTAGGTATTATAGTTCTTTATTATTCTATTAATGTCTGTTCTTTATTTTCTATATCTTTTATATCTCATTTTTATAGTCTATGTTTGCACTATTACATTTTTCTTTCTGTGTGTATCTCTGCTGCTGACAACACTGTGAGTTTCTTCACTGTGAGATAAATAAAGGCACATCTTATCTCATCTCATCTGATATAACAGTAAAGTGTTCCAAAAAAAATGAAAGAAATGTAAAAATTCATTTCTACAGTTTATGGCTTTGCTCTGTACTTAACGTGAGCAGGACTTCATTGAGGATATTTTTCACTGCTACAGGAACTGCAGTGTGTTTACAGCGTCGCTCAGTGCGCTCATGACCTTCATGGTTATTCATTAAATGTAGACGTTAATAACTAACCGTTTAACCAGCTGCAGTATCTGAAAACGACAAGACTGTGTTTGACTGAACGCCAGCGTTAACGGCCATAAAGTTGACTAAACACTGATCTATTCATTAAAACAGTCAGTGGCTAAGTGGCTTCATGTAAAGATTAACATTTATATTCTGAACCAGACCAAAAGCAGTAAATCCTCCGAATCAAACAGCAGGAAACAGAAAGCCCACTGCTGCATGATTAACGCTTTAAATAATCAGTCGAAGATCATAGTTTCCTGCCAATCAGCTGATTGCTTAAATCAGTTAGAAATTATGCCACAAACTGGAGTAAAAACTCAGCGTGAGAGATTTTTAACCACCGATATCATTATTCAACAACTATAAGTGAGAATAAATTATTTTTCTGTTGCAAAAGGAAGAGTTTTGGTTCAAAGGTAACATCAGGTCGTAATGGAGTCGCTGTCGTCCTCACCGAGACAGAAAATAATGCAAATACAGTCATGACTCGATAATTCAACCCTTAACAATCCTAAACCTGCTATCCGA